CTTCGCCCAGTCTCCCTTGTATGCAATATTATGCACAATGCTTATGTGCAATACCAAGTGCAAATTTTTCTACTTTAAGGCCATGTACTGGTTAGTGATCACCATGTTTTATGTGGACGGAGCGGCCTTGACTTGATGGTGGGATCAGAAAAGCAGAGAAGATGAAGAAGAAGCAAAAAGCAAAGTCACAGAAAAAGATGAAAACGATCTAAAGTTTGTGACCATTTCAAACAAAGGAAAAACAAAAATGCTGTACAGTGTGTTCATGGTAAAACTGAATCAGCTTACCACAATAGCACAACGACATTGATTCAGCATCTCAAGCACAACGTAAGTTAGAGCATTTCACTTTAATAAACTGGCAATAGAAACTATTAGAAGCATGTGTGTAATGTATACAGGATTCTGTCAAATTAGCCCCTAATTTTCACACAAGACAGTAAAGATGCTGCTGCTTATGATTACTGCTAAAACAGAAAAGTCTTGTATGTGCACACCTGAGGGTTGGCGTCCAGTATGCAGACCCGCCCTGCCTCCACCACCTCATGTATGGAGTCGATCTTCAAGCCGTACAGGTTGCCCTCATACTCTCCATGTTCTAGATAGCGCCCGTTCTTGATGTCTGTTTCCATTTTGCTGCGGGTAGTGAAAGCAAACATCCGACTCTCTCGCTCTCCCTTTTTGGGTTTTCTGGAGGTGTCTGCGCAAATACAAGGAAGTTACTATGATCAGTTTATTAGCTCAAGCCAGCTAACATAGCTCTCCAACCCAAAATGTAAAATTTTTAGATGGATGGTGGACATTTTAGTCAGTTTGTCTGCCACATTTGGTAGCAGACCCCACTCTGAAAAGTTGTTTTAATAAAATCTTCTGCTATTAAAGTCTAAACTGTGGCCATTCCTTTTTCAACCCTTTGAGAAACATTAAAGGTGATTATTAACCCCTTAGCAGTCCAATTAGTCCCCTAAACCATCCAATGTACCGTGGGCGGTACGTCCGACTGCTAACAGGTTAATCTATATTAGTCCAAATAGCTCTAATAGGTTGCTCTAGCCTTTCCCAGTAATATCTTCCCTTGGGGCCTATTGTACAGGCCTCTGAAACCATCCCAGGATAACAAGTGCCACAACAGGTGTAATCAAAAAGGTTTGACCTGCAAAGCTAGTCAGCTTTTTTCCTATCAGGGGAAGCAGGGAAGACATCTGGACATGAAGGCAGTCAGGTTGAGCGAGTCCCCTCTGCACCATCTACTGGCTGAGACTCAGATGATGCAGAGGAGACTGATCAGAGGATCAGGGATCAAGATGTTTTTTTAATCAGAGAGCCGATCGACTCAATATAACAAAAAAACAATTCTAGCTACTTTAGCAATAAGAAGCAATAAGGCAATGGAATATATCAGACTTCATACATGGAATTATGGTCCCAAAGAGCTGTGGATCCCTCAGTAGAAGCTTATTCTTTAGTCTCCGCCTCCCCACACCTTGAGCACCTATCAGAATCAGAGTTTTCCTCTTGAAAGGTGGGACCTTGGCCACCTCCTCATAGAGCAGTATCTCATGTCTGTCAAACTCTGAGGGTGAACAAAGAGCAGAAAGTAAGGACGAAGCAGTAGGAATATTTTACCCCAGCAGAGCTAAACTGATCCTGGCCCTGTTTTATTACCTGCATTTTTGGTGGTCACATACATCATCTTCTTCTTCTTCTTTCCTCCAACACCAGTACACAGATTTCCTGTTGCATTGTTGGAGCACAGCATTAGTGTAGGCAGAGAACTGAAGTCAAACTTCAAACTGAAGTAATTTATGAGCATCAGTCATGTTTCACAACTACTAACTTGTACTCATTTGCCCACAAGCTGGCTTGTAATGATCAGTCATGTTCATGCAGGTGTCTCTGCCAGATATTACGTCTCATACACATTAAATTTTTCCTCTTTAAGTTCTAATATTCATGTTTGTGCTTCTAAAAGGGGAATTAGATCTACTGGATCTACTGATAAGAGCTCCCTTACAGAACAAAACCCTTTCTGTGAACTCGAACTGAATTAGCAGTTGTTCGAATGCTTGTGTAAATCTCACATTTACAGAAGTGTAAAAAATGACACATCATTGACTGGTAACGTTTAGCAAAGAAAACCTTTTTTCTTTTACAAAGGTTGGACATCAGAGAGCAATGGTTCTTATATGCCATAATAACTGGGGTAACTCCCACATATGAAAGTGGGAGTATGTTCAAACTTCTTTCCTTGTAATCTAATACAGGTTCATGCTATAATGCTCAATGTTATATTAAAAATATTTCTTATAAAAAGTTAAGTCTAAAGATTCTTAAAACATTGTAGACCAGTGCACTGGCACATTGTGAAATTTAAACATGTGAGCAAACTTCATGTACCTGGCGTGTTTGTGCACCACCACACGGCAGTGACAAATAATCAATAAACCATGGGCTGCAGCAACACACACCAGACATGTGAACATAATGCCCTTCCTTAATGAACACCTACTTAATACTTAACACTTTCAGAAGTCTTTTTTTTTTGCTGCCATATGTTTATTAACGATTTATATTTCTGTTTACAGTATAATATGCTAATATAGTTCAATACAAATGGGTCATATTCTGTTGTGTTCATGAAACATTTTTGGCTTTTACCCCAAAGCTGTAAAAGGCTGATGGAGTACTGTCGTCACCCTGCAGGGCAGCAGCTTGGACACTCACGCTTGTGAATGCTATAACTCCAAAATGTGCCAATGTGGGATTTTGAAATGTTTTGGATTTTGAAGGTGCAGCTACTAAAATTTCAGATGAGTTTGAATCTCAGCGACACTGACCTCAAGGTTTCTTCAAGTTTCCTGAAAATCTTGTGATGCAATAATTCAAGGAGGAAGTCACCTATGATTATCTAACTGATACCATCCACTAATATTTTAATAATATTTTACATCCATAGTGAGATGATTTCATTAAGGCCCAAAACACACACACTGCGTCCATGCTCTGATTAGAATCCAGGCCCTCTGTTAAAATAAAGTCACCATCATCACAACCTTATTCGTTCTTTCACATTACCTGCAGGTGCCAGCTCCACATCTCTCTTGACAAAAGCTTTCCTTTTTTCCTCAAGCATCTGACTAGGGATTAACCCAGCACTCCCACCTTCCACATGACGTGCCTGCACAACAAATGAAGAAAAATTAGCAAAGCAATCCAAAGATATGAAAATGTGCACACAGGAAGCTATAACATGTTCACATAAATACTATTCTGTCACCTGCCACCAGTTGACATCATCCTGATTGACTATTTGCAGGATATCCCCGGTCTCAAACCTTAACCCCGCCTCCTTGCAAGGAATCAGGTTGTCGTTGGCTGGGTCATAATCATAGTGACACTTAAAGAATACCTGGAGAAATACATAGAGGTACACATCTTTATTTCAGTGGTGCATCCCAAGTTAAAATCCCTTTAAGACTAGAACTGCTAGGAGGGGTTCATGTTACCACAGGTGCCATTACTGAGGTGCTGCTTGCAGTAATGGCAAAGATGCCATTTTTTAAGTTCACTTAAGTTGTTTATTTCATCAAATCTTTCTAATTTTAAGTCAAATTTGGCAAAACAAGGATTTAAGGTGAATTTTGAGGGATTTGAATGGTTTCATCAATGAGTTTTAAAATTTAATTGCAGGTTGTAAAGTTTAAAACACACTTTAGAATAAATAAACAAAGACTGGACAAAACTAGCACAACAGCTTACACACTTAAAAAATATAATTAAGACCAAACCTGCACACTACCCTGCCTCAGTCCGCAGCTTCACCTGCTGAGGTGCTGCTCAGGCCTGAAAGTGAGCAGGGCGCTGTTCTCTTGATTTCACTCTTTAGTTATTTGGATTAGTTCCCCACACTCTGGAGTCTCTGTTCATTTCAGTTCCCTACGCTGCCCTACACAGCAAGTTACATACCTGGTTCTCCATGCCTTCAGTCCCACAGTCTGCCCAGCTCAATATCCCACCCTGAGCCCAGCAGCAATTACTCATGTTTCATCTAACTACATTCCCCTACATATTTATTTATCAATCACATATAGCTAGCTCTGACTCA